GAATTCTTTGAACCTCAAAGCATTGCAGAAATCTTTTTCTTACTATGGAACATTGATTCTAGTTTCATTTGGATGTTGTAGGGTTTAACAAGTTTTAGGACTGCCATTTTCAGAAGGCACGTATATTTATCTAAAGTCTTTGGAGAAAGTTTATGCTTTATCTTTCTTAATTATTTTTATAGCACTCATATACTTTCAAATTTAGTTTCCTCTTGGATTCCTTGAGGCATTTGAATTTAAAAGCATGTAATAAGATCTTAATTTTATGGGCTTTAAAGTAGAGGTTTAATATGTGTGTTTTTATATGATTCCGTCATCTTTTACTGCATCATATAATACAACTTTGATCTATTAGACATGCTTGCCAATACATCTGACTTTGTAGTTTAGTGATTCCCAGCCACAGGCCCCCAGATTTGACTATTAGGACAGAACCCCTGTGAACCAACAAAATACAGTAGTTACCAAGAAAATACTTGATATAGTTTGTGAATTTTTTTACCATGGAAAATAATGTTTTATATGCACCATTTCACAGGAAGCCTTTTTGCATTTTTTTTTTACTATGGAAGATAACAATTTAAGTGCACTAGTTCATGGGGAACTTTCTTATAACAGGAACTGACATGTTTGCTGACCCTAACCACAAAATTGGACTTGAATCTAATGTGCATTCACAGAGGATTAAATTCCAATTAATATATTGAAAACATGTATGGCCAGATGTCTGCTACCACCTAGTTAAGAGGCAGATGCCATTGGGATGAAGAATTTTTTTTTCACATAAGCCATTTTTATGTTTGCATTTGAAAATGAAATCTTTCAAGATTAATAAAATCTGGTTTCATTAAGGAACATTCTGTGAGAATTTTAGTTCATGTAATTTTAACAGAAATTGTGTGCACATTATTGGTCCTTAAAACAATTCAAGCATATTGACAACTTTGCTATCATACTGAAATGTGGCAATTATGTTATGCCAACGCATTCTGAGCGGTATGCATTTTTTACTTGTTGCAAATCTCCCAAAAAAGATAAACTGATAATCAAATAAGAAAATTGTTACCTGTGAGAAATAACAACTCTGCGTACCCATTTTGATTAATTCCTATTTGCATATTAATTTTTAGGTCAGTCTGTTAGCATGCATCTTCTGTTGTGAACAGAGGAGCACTTTTGGTGAGAAATTAGCCTTCCATGATAGTTTTGTAATTTGTAAATTTTAATTGTTTTTTGTAAAGTGGTAGAGACTTACAGTAAAAGGATACTGCAATGTAACTTTTAAATAATCGTAGCTAGGGTATGAAAAGAGATTTCTCTGGCCTGCATTGCATAGTACTGTATAAGTACTTTTAAAGTAATATTTTTTCAACTCTGTCCATGGGCATGTTTGCAAGCAAACAAGTGATTTAGTGGCGACCATTATATTATATATTGACATTATTTCAGTTCTGTATTGTTTTTTTCTTGTGGCAGAACCCATAAATCTAAATAAAGCGGTGTTGCTATAATTCAGCTTCTCACATCATGCTGTTTTCACAGGTACACATTTGCGAGACAACTAAAGATGCTATGAGAATATTTCTGATCCGCTAAGCTTGAGATAATTTATGGAAATGTTTTCTAATACAGTAGCTGATTCTTTTTTTAAAAAATGCTTCTTTGAACTCTTGCATTAATCAGCTATATTGAATATTAATTATTTTACAAATACTCCTTCTAGTGACCTTTTAAGGATTATTTTCTAGCCCTCTCCCCTTTGCTTTGTGCATGACTTTACAATGTAATACAACTGAAAAATCTCAGAATGTGGCAATATAAGTCTAGTAATAATAAGTTTCTTTACAAATCCAATGTGAGATAGAGAGATATAAACAGACAGATGTTTTAGGATGAAACATCCGAGGAAGTGCAGTTGTGAGACCCACATATTTTATACTATAATTCACAACCATAGATTATTAATCTGATGAAAAACATTTCAGATTAATTTCACAAAATATTTCATTGAAGTGGAATCCTGTGGACATTTTCTCAGCACAGTATTTACATTATTACTTTAGAATTTTACATCATCATTAAATTACGGAATTCTAATGAGATTACAGTGAAAAAAATGCAAGCGGGGTTATAATACAACTACTTCAGTTGTAATTATTTGAATCTGTAGCCTAATTTTACCTAGTAATTAAAAGTTTTAACGTAAAATTAACTACTTGGACACCTTGTTTTGAAAATGTAGATTTGAATTTTAAATAGGTTTTGTTTCCTGACTTCTAAAAAAAGGCTTGACTTTTCAAATGCTTTTTTTTTTCTCGATTCTGTTAACACTCTAAAGTGGGAAGCCATTTTCATTGATTGCCACCATTCCAGCTGAAATGATCTTAGGTGCTCTTGAGAGTTTATCTCTGATTTCTGTTTGTTCCTAGAAATACTAACTTCATCGTCGCTTTATTTGCTTTCAGACTCTGCTTTCTTTCCTGGTCGCTGTGCTGAGATTTTTGCCAGAGGACAGAGCATTGGGAACTTGGGGGTTCTTCATCCTGATGTTGTCACGAAATTTGAACTCGCCATGCCCTGTTCTGCTCTAGAAATCACAATTGAGCCTTTCCAGTAAGAAGAAAATCCTCTTTTGGTCCAACTTCATGCTCCATTTTATTTTGTCTTGCTACTGCCTGGTAGTTGTCTGTACTTCAAAGTATTAGATCAATGTACATTAGGCTTTATTAGGATTTAAAATGTTTCTTTCTGTAATGAAATATTTTATTAACCAGTTAAAGGCTCTTTTTAACACTTGAGGACATCACTCTTTTTTAAAAAATAAGGCAAATTCAGTCAAGTATCGTAAATATGTATTGGCTAAATATTTTTTGTTTCCTCCAGTAGTTTCAGTGATTGAAATGTAGACTGTTAACTTATTGCAGCTGCTCCAAATAGAGTGATAATTTATAAAAACAAATGTGAACTAAATTGAGAGGTTAATTTTTTCCTGATTAAAAGCATACATGTTTCTTGTAAGCTTATATATAAGCTTTTTCCCCCCATAGTAGCTATACCATAAATTTTTCGTCTATTAAAAAGAGGGTCAAAATAAATATCTTTGCCTACTCATTTACCCTTAGTTGTAGTAGAGACAATTGCAAGCAGTTACTGTATATGTTACAGAGTAAATTATCCATTGACTCTGCTTTTTCCTATGCTATCAATGAAGAAAATAGAATAAGGAAGCTCTGTCATTTGTATATAGTTGCAAATGCCTAAAAGATATTTTTGTCTTCTAGACAAGTTGATGTTTTCTTGCATTTTCATATTGAGTATATAAGTTTTTTGATGAAAAAATGCCCAACTAATGATCCTAGGTGAACCCCCATTTTGGATTAATTGTGGTGATATTGAGATTACAGGGAATTGAAGCAAAATTTTGGACACTACCGATTTATGTTGAGAATTTCGCTTGTTAAATAAACTCCCAATACCTTTAATGGATAGACTAGTTGGATGGAGTGATCAAATTAATGAAGGCAAGGCTCTAGGATTTGTATGCCTGCTTTAAATGTTAATCCTGAGCCCACTACTTAGTGTTCAGTATCTAGTTCTATATGTTTGCAAGCAAGCTTGTTTAACATTTTAATTCAGATTCTACATGAACTAAAAATGTAACCAGAAAATATTGCATTTGTTAGAGCTTCCTTGCTAAGAGCATTTGGCATTTATACTTTGAAATAACCTCTTGCTATATAGTATACTACAGATACAGATATGTGACATAAGTTTGAATTTTAAAAAATCTAGAAACACATAATTTGAATGTAGCAATTGACGGTATTTTTTCAGATTATATATTTAGCATATTACAGTAGAATGATACAAAAATAGAAATTGTGTAATTTATAAATCAGAACATATACATGCAGTGTTGTTGAACAGCATAGACTAGGTGCTATTCATAAAAACAATTATGTAAGCAAACCCAAAGCTGTTGGGAAGACAACATATAGTTCAGAAATCTATGTTAAATAGAATTTCCCTACTTAATTAAATAATGCATTGGTCATTACAATAAAACCATGATTTAGCATATCCTTCAGATGTCTATTAAATTCCAATTTATATAGTTTACCTCATTTATGTAATTATATTACATTAGTGATGTAAGTGAATAGAGGTGAAGTCCAAACAAAAACATTTTTTATCTAAAATCTGTTAAAATCTATGAAATGGAGGTTTTGCTGTATTCTGTTCCAGATATAATGCGAATACAAAAGAATAATTGACCAGTAGCACTACTGAACTATTCCTGTCTCCATAAGTTCTTTCTTATAATCAATCACCTTATCCATCTATGCTCATCTGTAATGTTTAGAACGTGAATAAGCAGGAAAAAAAATAGAAGCGACTCAGCATCTTTCTCTTGTATTAGCATTACAATGCAAAATGCTGCTTCCTTTATGCTGTCAATGCTACATTCCTGAGAAACGTCTACAATATTTTGATATAAGAATATTATGTCTTCATACAATCAATATCTTTCAGACCTCTTCTTATTCAAAATACAAATCAGAGAAAAATGAAAATTCAGACCTGTATTCTTATGATATGTAAGATAAAAGGTTAAGTTGGAGACTGGGAGGGTCATTTAAACCCTAGAGTAATATTGCAGCATCTCCAAGGAAGATCATGGGCTATATTTATTCCCAATCACATATGTTTACAAACTGTTGAAGACTGATACTGGTTCCCCTCAATGCAACCTTGCAAAGCTGGTAACTCTAGAATTAATCACCTTTCCTGATTATTCTTCTTTTTTGGTCTGTGGCCATCTCTCTCATACTGAATACTAGCATAACTAAATCCTATCTTTAGTCTCCAGTATTAGTAATCCTAAAGAGTTTATGCAAAAGGCATATTCTTTCCTCCCATCACCCCAACCCCCATTTACTGCAAATATTTTTAATCTGCAGTCCCTAATCTGGACAATTAAAAAAACAAATGCATAGCATTCAATTTAAACCAAAACATGTGTATATTAGTGGCACAAACATTGTAGCACTTAGACCAATAGAAGAATAGGTTATAAATTTATAGGGTACTTCAATTTTTATTTGCCGCATAGCTACAGCATCACTGTTAGAAATCTTGTGCCAAGAACATAATGATTTACGAACGACAGTTTTGGCAATCTGCCGTGTGATCATTAAAACACCAATCCCCACTATAAATTTTGCAAGCACTAGCAAGATGATTTCAGTAGTGATAGAAGAAACACTGTGTGGGACATCTTTAGATGCGGCATTTGAAACATAGCGATTATTTGCCCAAAATCCAATAATTGCTCCTGCAGAAGCTCCCAGAATAGTGGTGGTATCCGCTCTAGTTGGACTGTAATAATCTAGTCTGGGATAATTGTAGCACAAAAAGAGAGGCACAATGATGCAGAATGCTGGACAGAAAGGGCTGGTGAGCATCAAGTGATCCACGATATCCCAGGTAGGACAGGCAATTGCAGTCAAAAATAAGGAAATTAGACTGCCGACAATGACGTCCTGGAAAAACACATAAAGATATTAGAGACACAAATTGCCATTTGTCTCTGAATGCAATCCCTAGCCTGAATTGAAAAACAGATTTGGAACATTACAGGTCTAGTACACATAAGAAGAAATACCTTGAGAATAAATGTCAAAGAGAAAAACAACTAAAATGCAAAAGCTTGGTATGATGTATGTCCTTCAACTCTTACTACTTCATTGAAGCAAAATTTAACTGAGGAATCTTCATCACTTTCACACTCTTCTTGGGGGGGGGGGGCAGGAGAGGATTTCCGCAAGAGCAGTAAATATGTTACATTTGCAGAATTATGTATGTATTCATATATCACTGTATGAAAACCCACAATTTAGATTTGAACCTTTTTGCTGAAAGGCAATGAAATAATGCTTCTTAAAATAAGATTTCTGATGATTGGAAAGGAAAAGTCAGTTTTCTGTGAGCACCAGCCTTTCCCTCCCATAATCTCTTACTTTAATAATTCAAAGGTGCTTTTTCCAAAGGCAACTAGACTTTCTTGGTTTTTTCCTTTGAAGATGTCTCACTTCTCATCCAAGAATCTTCTTCATTCTGAACTACTTTGGGACAACCATTTCCTGGATGATTGAGAATCTCCATAGACACTCAGTTTAATAACTTCCTAATTTCTGTGCAAGAATTATTGTTCCTTTAATTTATTTTTTATGGGTAACTTTAGGCCAAACAATTGATGTGAGCCCACTCCCTGGTATCTGTTATTTTATTTAATGAAATCTGAATTATTTGCGGCTATAGTAAATCAATTATCTTATTTTTATCTATTTTTCATATTTCTGAACTACCCATTTTCCTTAAAGAGGGTCTCTGGAGGTTGTTCAGAGAGGGACTCTGGATGATCAAAGTCATCTTGGGTGACTACATTTACTAAGAAAAATAAAAGACCAGTTTTTGAATGCTTAATTACTACTACTATAATCTACACTAAAGAACAGGGGTCTTCAAACTTGGTCCTTTTATGACTTGTGGACCAACTCCCAGAATTCCTCAGCCAGGCATGCTGGATGAGGAATTCTAGGAGTTGAAGTCCACAAGTCATAAAAGGGCCAAGTTCTCAAATTAATTCCATTCCACACAAGAGAAACAAAGAATACCATATCATAGTTTTTTTAAACAAAGATTTCTCTATCTTTCTCTCTCACATACACATACACGCATATGCACGGACATTACACAAATTATATTGTACACATACCTTCCCTATTCTAGTACCTTTCAGAGATATTGAATTATAGTTCCTATTGCTAGCAAGGATGGTGTAGTAATCCAAATCTTTGGAAAGCATCATTCTGGGGAGGTTAGTACAACATTCTCCACAGAAAATCCATGATTCTATATATTTCTTTAAATTATTATTGATTTTAGATACTAAATCCTTAATTTGGAGCTGGGTAGTCCTATATCCTGGAGGAAACTAAAATGATTCATCACAATATTCCTGCATTAAATGCCAAGGGTTATTTCAAACATTATGGTGCTCCTTATGGTCTTACAAAGGCCTATAGTTCTAGAGGCACTGGTTATTTTGTTTTCATCTTCCACTACTATAATAGAATATACAGTAAGTATACTGCATCCAAATGGTTGTAATTAGGTATACTAGAGTATAGCTAGGTTAAACCTGTGTATGTATATGTATATATTATTAGTATTGGATTTAATAGATTTCTTCAGAGAATTGCTTTTGGAACTATTCCCATAAGGGATTATGTCAGAAATGGAATCAACATGGGATTTACAAGAAGAGGTTAAAGACAAGAGCTAGCAAGAATCTAATAATCTGATCTTTCTTGGAAAGTGCCATATAACTTAGGTTTAATAAACAAAGGAAATGTGAAGTATAAGTAGCCTTCAAGCCAAAGGATATAATATTTCTGGGGATTAAAGTTTCATTGGCTCTTGTATTTGTGAATAAAAGTATGCAATATTTATAAGCTATGTGCATAAAGATGGCATTCAAAAAGAAACAGCCAATGTCAAACATCAATACATTTTTTCCTGCTATACATCCAGTAGCATTGTCTTATATTATCCTTTTAGATCTTTAGCTTTGGGGAGGACAATGTATTAGATGAAGTCTAAGCATAACAAATACTTCCTTATATAGACATATGAATCTAGCAAATAATCTCTTCTTTCACTTTCTCCAGGTTTGCCCCAGATATATGATAAAAAAGTGGCCTAAAATCTTCAGTATAATATTTTAGTCATTCTATGCCTTCCTCCCCATTTCATTCTGAATTGCTATGTGTGTGTGTGCGTGTGTGATGAGATTATCTTTGAAGGTGTATTGCCAAAGTATCATCACCCACACTTACCTTAATTGATCTTAAAAAAACTAAGCAGAATTGAACTGGGTTACTACTTGAATGACTGACCAGGAGGAAATCCCAGGTTACTGCTATACTAGGAAATTGAAAACTATCCGAGAAAAAGGTGATAGAAAGTCATTTCTGATGCTAGGAAAACCTCACGAATGTGTTTGTGTAAAAATCAGGAGTCAAGCTTGATTTTGGAGAATTTACTCTTACTTATGTGCGTAAACTGGTTAAATTTAAATTTAAACCACTTTGAAAATAACTTAAATTGGAACAGAGAAAATGAATATAACAATGCAGAAATGCTGGATTTAGGCATGTATGTAAACATACGGATGGCTTCAAAAACAAGGTAGAAAATAGGCCACCCACACAACTCTATCATCTTAGTCTTCCCTTCTGAAAAACATTTTGAATCTGAATCTGAATACATTTTATATCCTGGGATTCTGCTTTGATAGCATATTGCATCTCATGAAAATTTGAATACAGTCTCCTCATAATTCTGGCTGACTACATGGAATTCAGGAACAGAAAAAGGTACACCAACGCTCATATCCCATTCTCCCACTTTGAAGCTCTCCATTCATTCAACTCAATGCCTGAAGAAAACTATACATGACATGCAAATCAAGAACTATGCTGTCCCTGGCACCAGAGTGTGTTCTTTATCTCCAACTACTCCCATGTTTCTTATTCTCCCCTGTAATGAAATTTTATGTGATTAGTAATTTGAAGCAAGAACTCATAAGATTTTTAGGTGGTGAGAGGGGAATGGGCTATCACATTATTTAATGGTAACCAGGAGTGCAAAAGATTGTTATTCCTTTGTCAGAAAAAGCCTGGGTCATTCTCGGGTGGGAGAAAAACTACTGAACTAATCAGAAAATTCTAGTTGAGACTTTTGGAGATAAACGTAGTATTTTATTTTAGAAGCATGATCACGTTAATAGAGATCTCCATGTTATTATATATATAAGTAGCTGCAAACTGCAAAATATTTATTCATTTATCTTTAATTTCATTTCTTGAGGTAAGAAAAACTATTCACAGAATTGTAAGTTACTGAGATAATTTGACATATAATTTCATTAAGGTCATGATGCTCTTTAAGACAACCAACAAAGATTTCTTTTTTAATCACTGTCTTCATGTTTTAAAGAAGTATTTTTTTTCTATCATCACATACTTAAAAAAATATGCAGAGAATTTTAACTGATTGATTGACTAACTGGGGTAACTAAGTTCTATAATGGGGAAGAGAGAATTCTCTGTTCTAAACTAGATGTCTTAATCTAGTAAGGTCAAGATGTTTCCATCAGAATTCATCGTGATGAATAAACAAATGTAGCCATTAGCTGCTACAATTATTTCAGATGCTTATATGAGTAAGCTGAAATTATCATTAAAATGTCTTGAGTTTTTCTTCCCATCCCGTAAATAACATTAAGTCTAACGCTCAATAAATGCACTCAATCAGAGCCGCACTATGTAGCAAACAAGATGTTTTAAAATAATGGAGCTTTACTTCATAATTTCTTCCAGTTTGATTAGATCACACTTCAAGAAAAGTAAAGGTTCAAATGGCAGTGTTAGACACTACCTAAAGGCATATAAAGTGAGCAAAGCCTTGAATCATGAAGAAACAAATTTTCTATTATTTAGGTTCAGATTTGAGAAATATCTACAGATTCTTTGAGCTTGTATTAGAAACAAAATTAACTTAGTGCTTTGTATTTAACTTTGCTGTTATACTTTGCTGCTCTATTCTTAATGTCTCCCCCAACTCTTCAGTGGTATGCTGGATTGAGTGGTATGCTGGATTGAGAGAGGGTTTGACATGCCTGCTGTAGAGTAACAAGCTGGGGATTTTGGCTTATTGTTCCTTTGAGACACAGAATAGCAAATTATTGTTTGTTCTTGATTTTCAAATCCTGGTTTATGAAGACATCAAGCCAGAATTCCTTGGGCTTGTTTAAGTGGAAAGCTTAGGAGAGGCATGAGAGAAAATGAAGAAAAATAAATTGCTTCTGGAAATTTAACTACATATTTTTTTCAAGAGGGAAAATCTACTATATTTTAGAAATTATTTTTATTAATCATTTATTATATATATTTGTCCATTTATACTGACACTGCAGGGAAGGAAAAATCAACAATCAACATAGGGATATCATAAGGAGTAATATAGAGAGACTCAGTAATATTTGCTGCAAACCATAATGACTCCTAAATGATGACATATACATGGTGATGTCATCACAATAACTGCACAATTATGGACTTGCATTAAAATTCTGTAATTTAAGTAATGATGGCATCATAAGCATTTCATGATTTGTCTTCCTTGCCTCTAATCTCCTAACAGTTACCCAAGGTAAAACCTTACCAGCACTGTGTGCATTCCTGTATAAATTCTGCTGAGGCCTACCAGAGATGAAAATAAGAAGGCTCCCAACAGTCCGAGTTCAAGTGGATACTAAAAATATAAGGGAAAAGAATGTTAATAAAATATTTATTAATCACCTAACAGAAAACAGTCCATCCACAATTTAGCTTGAGGATACCATAATTCTAAAGAATTAGAATCTTCCTTTCCTAAACCTAAGATGAAACAACTCAGACAATGAGAAGGCAACTTACGACTTCCCAAGGGCCTTATTTGGATGAGTTACCTGAAGATGATAGATGGCGAAATTTTTTGTAGATAACATCAAGTGATTCCATTCCAAAAGGAGCCTCCAATGCATCCCAAGCTAAATGAAGAATTCTAAAGAAATATCTCCACAATTGAAAGACTAACCAAGTAGTGCCCATCCCCTGTGATAAAAAAAAGGGACAAAAGATCCTAATTTTACAGAAATGTGATTGAGGATGTAAAATAGTTCCATATTCCTAGGAATGACTTTTCTCAGCCACAGTGAAAAGTTTGTTATGACTGTCTGATGAAGAACAATACACAAGAAGGAAGAGGATGAAACAGAAATGGACTGTAATGCCACTGAAATACTTGAGGCTTAAGATGGAAGGACTGATATTTGACCAAATAAGGCAATGAAATTTGTTTATGCAACTTGACTAGATTAAATCAGAATTGCTGCTTCCTACCTTGTACTGGTTTGCAGTCACAAACACAAAAGTGAAAGAGATGACAGTGGCTGCCATTGCATGTGTGGATGGCATTCCATATTCTGCATTAGTCTTCTTTTCTAGCTTGACCACAGGTGGTGAATGAGGACGAGGCCACTTCAGAAGATCTTTCATGACTTGACCAATATACATAACTACCTGGAGATAGCAAAGAGACATTTTCTTTTTTATTTATTTATGTAGTAAACAATTTTACATGGCTGCCCTACTCATACACAGGTGACTTTGGGCAGCTTACAAAATTAGAAACCACAACATAAAAACCATAGCCCCCCTCCCAACAATACCACCAGATCAGCCACTTAATTGGTTCTCTCTCCATTTGGGATCTCCAGGCGTTCTGAACAGCTATGTCTTTGGCATTTCTCAAAAAAGCAACGGGGGAGGAGCAATTGTACTTTCATGGAAATTATGCCCCATAGGGAACGAGCCACCATCAACAAGACACTTTTCATGGTCCACCAGATGTAGATCCCTAATACTCTACATTCCTGTCCTGGTGGGTCGGGAAGATATAATGGAAGAAAGATGGTCCTTCAGACAGCCTGGCTCCAAAACATTATTTAAAGTTTAAAATGAGAGATAGATATTTGCTCAAAGGTTCAAGATAAGTAGTTGAAGGAACCTACCCCCACCCGATCAGCTCCAGAGGCCATAATTCCTAGACATATAGAGAAAGGTGTGGTTGGAATTATATGAATTAAAAGTCTAATTCATCTGTAATGAATGAATTTATCTCTTACTGATAAAAGACTGACTTATCAAATCTCAGACTAATAAATATTTTTACAAGGCCCAGATAGAAAGCCTGAAGTCAGATAGGAAGTATAGACCCCCCTTTTTTTCCCCTGTGGCCCTAAAACAGAACAACCAAGCTGTTCTATGCACCATAAAAGACCCTTCCAGGAGTAATAATATTGTAATCTAAAAACACAAAATATCAATAATGGCGGGAACATTAAGCAGTGACATTACACATTTAAAAATAACAAAGCAAGTCAATGTAATGCTAAAGCAATGCATCATAAATGCAGTAAGCCAAATGTTTGAAAGTCACAACAGAGAACATAATAACTTCAAACATTACAAGTTACACCTAAAGAGAAAATGTGTTCCCACTTTTGGGGAATGTAGTTTTCTTAGTGCATCCTTGAGCAAAGGTAACACAAACTATGTTGAGCTAAAATACTAAAAATAGAGTAATGTTTGTTCATTTATCAATTTTGTATATTGACCTAATTATATAACAAACTCCTGATGGATGACAATATAGAAATAGAAATATAATAAACATATCAATCAAAGCAGAAAACATTTAAAGCCTAATCCACAAGCCAAGAGTTCCCATTCCTTCATTCCCTAAGAGCTCTCTAGGGGGGTTTTATGCCAATTTGACCTCTGGAGGGAGGCCAATCCATGGGCATGGGCCATTATAGAAAAAATTGCTTCTAAGCTTTGTCCCCTCACCCCCCACCCCCCGCCTGGCTCCCCCAAAAGAAAGATTAAAAACTTCTACGGAGAGTACATTGGACAAATTAGTGCCACATCCTGTTGCAAGGTGATGCTTTGTATTCTAGAAAATGTCTATTAATTATATTTTTCATCGTTTCTGTACCAAATATTGTCCCACATGCATCTCTCTCTCACTCTCTTTTTCCTTTATTTTTTTTTACTTTCTTGCATTTTATATAAAACTCTTCTGGGTGTTTAATTCCAGTAGTAATTTACTTAGTGATTTTAAAACGGCGGGGAAAAATGAAGTAGAATACACTTATGAAAAAAAAGTAGATGTGGTTTGGATGCTAGATATGTCCACTCTTAGTTGATATAAGCAAGTTTCTCCTCCCCCCCCCCCAGCATTTAGTAAATAAGAGGTGCCACCTGAATTAAATTTTATCCTATTTCCAGCTTTAATATCAAGATCTTTTCTGCTCTTTTGGTCCATCTTCCTTCATGAAATGAAGTTCACAAGTTATATACAATTCCTTTTTAAGTTCAAAGAAGAACTAAAGTACGTGAGTGACCTGGAGGCATCAAGAACACCATGGCATCAAGTCTGATTGTCAGCAATAACTTCAAAATTCTACCACTCCTAATCTCACAGGGGAAAAAATATAAAACTATTTCAGAAGCCTTGAAAATTTAAGATTGGAGATTTATGGATTGTAATGTTTCATCTTCAATATCTGCATAAATCACTTGCTTCAGATGTGCTACAATTTTTTTCATGATCATGGAATACAAAAAATGACAGATAACAGAGTTACCATTTGGGTCTCAAGGTCAAGATCATAGAAAAAATATCACTGGGTCTTTTTATCAACAATATACATCTGGAGATTTGGGGGGAAATGGCTTTTTAAAAAATGCTTACCACTTTTATATGTTTACAAATTACTTTCATGGAACAGAAATGACTATTTTTGTTCAGACTAAGTATTCAAAAATAAGCCATTGAAAATCAAAATGTAAATGTAAATGGCTAAGAAGCGGAGAAACAGCTAATGCTATTTGTGTCATATAACAATGACTTCAAAATGCATTTTTATTCTTTATTTGGGATCAATAGCAGCCTTCACCAGTTAAGCTTTCATCAGACTGAAATTAGCATACAATGAAATAGTTTACATTTTTAAAAACAAAGTCTGCTAGATCCTAGCTATGTCGTAAAATAAAACATTTAACCATTAAAAGGGAGTCAAGCTATTCTCCAAAGGACCTGAAGGCAGGACAAGAAGCAACGGATGGAAACTAACCAAAGAGAACTAAGGAGAAATTTCCTGTCACTTAGACCAATTGTTGAACAACCTGCCTCCAGAAGTTGTGAATGCTCCAACACTGGAAGTTTTTAAAAAGAGATTGGACAACCATTTATCTGAAATGGTATAGGGTTTCTTGCCTGAGCAGGGGGTTGGACTAGAAGACCTCCAAGGTCCCTTTCAACTCTGTTATTCTAATTCTATTTATTGTTGTTGTTTTTTTTGTTTTAAAAAAACTTCCATCACTACTTCAAGTTTCCTGATGTTGCTGATACCGTATGTTATCCTGCTTTAATAAATGCGAGGTTTTTGCTGATTTGTTGTTGGGGTAGAAGATTAAAATGTACATCTTGTATATTTCAAACAGATATGGCAATTTCAGAAAGCTATGTGGGCCCTGCTGCCAATATATTTGCATGTTCAATAGATGGGTGAAATATTCCTCCAGCAAAGTTGAAATGATCCTGGAAAAATCATCATCTTCAATATTAGATGCTCTGCAGATTATAGCAGACTTCTGAATCTGCAGGGCAGGAGGTCTTCAATCTTTCATACCAGAAGCCTGACTTTAGCTTCTGCTTTGGTGAAGTAGCTTACTACTAACGTAGTAGTTATTTTCCAGGCACCACGTGGCATTCATCCAAGCATGGCAAATGAGAGACTGGATCTCACAACTTGTGCTGCTTTCTGGCAATCAAAAGGTAAAATGTAACTGAAACCTGGCATGCAGTCAAAATTTTAAGTGGGTTTGGTAGCAAAGAACTTCATGATCCTGAAAAATTGGAATTTTCAAAAATAAAAAATTGATAAATGAACTAAGTCATGGAAGTCTCCTTAAATCAATATAGCATCACTTTGATTTTTCCAATCATACATGGCAAATACTGTAACTCAATATATAATGAGGAACACATCCATACAAGCTCCTCAGGTGACACTGGTAGCAGTACCATATGTCTTTTTTATCCCCCAGGTGAAGAAACAGTCCCCTCTCCAAAGCTTTTAGATACTGACATTTTTCAAAATGCCTGCAAAAATACTTGTGATGACTAATGAGTAGCCAAAGCTACTAGAATGAATGGAGACAGTCTGAAAGGAAGAAATTTGGTAGATTAAATCCAATTGGAAAAAGCCTGAGATTTTCAGTAGGATGGCAATAAACAGACTTGGGACAACTATTATCCAGCATGTGGCTTCTACTCCCTTGTCCCTTGTCTCCCTTGCCCGTCACATTAATGTGGCAATAAATGGACAGAAATGTCTTTCTCTCCAGGCTCCAACAAACTTCTGTTTTTGTTTGCTGGTTGCAGAGAAAGAGAAGACTCTCCTGCCAAGCTAATATCAAGAAATTATTAGTTCAAATCACAAAGAGATCATCTTACTTGTGGCAATTTCTAGGTTACATATTAATCAGTTGACTACAGCAGGGCTTTTCAACCAGTGGTACGGGTACCACCTGTGGTACATTGGCACCTGGCAGGTGGTACGTGACCATCCTAGAAAAGTGGTAGCGGGGGAGGGGAATGAGCTGAACCGGCGGCAGCACCGTACAAGCCTGAGCGAGAGACGGCTGGAGCTGCAGGGCTGTCAGGGCTCAGCGGAAGCGCCAGGATCAGCGCCAGGCTCCAACTGGAGCTCGGCGCAGATCCTGGTGCTTCTGCTGAGCCCTGAAGAAGCACCGATCAGCTGGAATGTTGCAGCATCTCCAGGGTCTTGTGATTTACATTCAGATGCTTGACAACTGATTCATATTTATGACGGTCACAGTGTCCCAGGGTCATGTGAAGTGACCAAAACCTGCTGCAACCACCCAGCAGACAGGGGGGGGGGATAAAAACCAAACACCCCCCCACCCCACCCCCACTGCCAATCCCCACAGAAATGCTCACAACAATGAAAACCTCGGACGGGAGGAAGAGCGCGGCCGGGTGGGCAGGCAGGTGTGTTGCTCGGCTGTGGCTTGGGGGGCACTTTTTTCAGTACCATTGTAACTTCGAACAGTCACTAAGCGAACTGTTGTATGTCGAGGACTACCTGTACTTTATCACTTTTTTCCTTTTTTTTTTTTTTTTTGGTCATCAAGTTTTTGACACCTTGCTAGGCGACTGGTGGTACTCGGATATTGTCATATCCTAAAAATGGCACAATGGGTAAAAAGGTTGAAAAGCCCTGGACTACAGGGCCTGAGAAAAGATTCACCGCTTCTCCATTGCCATTCTGTCAGATACTCTCCTTACTCTGCATTGCAAGAAAGGTGGAAGAAAAGAATAGAAGAGGATAACCAGCAGCACAGGGGACATACTTAACAGCAGCAAAGAGTGCACAACTGAAGGAGCAGGTTAGGGACAGATCATCGTGGAGAAAAACTTTCTGTGTGGT